TATTTAGTGAAGTCACAAATAATTTCCAATACCTTCTTCATATGAATAACATTATATGAATAAGTAGCGCTAACCAGGTAAAGCAGGAGGTACAACTACAGTGATAATATCCAGTGCACGTACGATAACTTCTCTCACACTTGCACCGCGAAAGATCATAGTTATAATAGTATATGAGAAACCACAAAAGGCAATACATCCAAGAAAACCAATAAATTTAAAAAGATCCCTTGTAAAACGCAAGTCTACAGGCTTTGGATACATTATTGAACGTACCAGTTGACCTTTCAGCGTTGTATAAGCAGTTCGAAGAACAACTGCCTGCAATAAATAATATGATTGTAAAAGAAATACATTATGTACAGCTTGATATATAAAGGTATAACTTTCGTAATCGCATTTTCATTAGTAGTAAGCAGTTCCATCCACTTCTGAATACCTTTACACTTTTCCCCGCATAGTAACGTGTCTGAAGTATTTGTGTACCACAAAATAATGTATGTCTGGAATGTTTGTCCAACGAGAAAATTGACGATTCATCATCAGTATCAGGTAAAGCAGCCTAAAAAAAAAAAAAAAAAAAAAGATTTAAATATATAATTAGGTTAAAAGAATGACCATAAACGAACATAGAAGATAATCACCTTAGTTACAGGAACTGATTCACCCGTCAACATTGATTCATTTACGATTACCGTACCATTAATTAGTACGGCATCACACTGCATATTACATCCGTTAGGAGGAATTAGAATAACGTCCCCAGGTACTAACTGCAATTGAATAGGGATAATTAATAAGTACATACAAAGTTAATAAACTGTTAAAATGTATACAACATTGTGAAAACTAACAAGTAAAATCAAAAATCACAACTTACTTCCTCGCTGCTTATTTTTATTGGATTTTCACCATTTCTAAGCACCTGCACGAATGCCGAAGAATGAACCATACTTCGTAACTTCCTTTCTTGTTTTCTCGTCTGATACAAATCCATCGCTATAGAAAACAAAGACATGGCAACAATAACGCTAGCATATATTTCATAATGATCCGAAAACCAAATCGCAACGCTATAAAAATTCTTTTTAGCATTAGCATAACAGAAATTTCAATATCAAATATCATTGGAAATTTTTGAGTAAATTCATGTTTAAATAATTTTTAGGCGATAATTCAAATAAAATGTGCACCTGAACAACTGGAATATGTAGAATGGAGATACAACTTCACGGAATAGAAGGACATGCAATGGTTTGAGGTTTATATCAATTAAATTTTTTCCATAAACTGCCAAACGTTTAGCAACATCAACGCTACTTAGGCCTTTTTCTCCCATAATATGGAACTGGTGAAAATCAATCTAAAACCCCAGTGAGGTAAAAGATACATTTACGACATTGAAGCAAAATTTAAGGGAATTTCTAAATCAGCTCGGTTTCGTGTTAGGCACCAAAAAAATTGGACAGCTCCCAAGATCTCAGAGAAGAGGTAGAGAAAGTTTTGAAAAAAAAAGCAAATATATGAAGCGAATAAAGAGAAAACAGGTTAAAATGGGATGACTCACAAATTGAATAAAATAACTGAATCCTACATAATATAACTGAATAAAATAAACTTACATCAACATCTAGTGAATCAATTGAAATAAATCGATCTTCATCAGCATACCAAAGATGGGTAAGTTTTTTAAAAGTGAAATATCTCAACGTGCTTACATCAGTCATTTGAAAACCAGTTATAGGAAAACCCATTTGCATAACACTATCACTTATCATACAAAGTACCGGGCGAAAGGCAACATCCATATGTGCATCCCTTAAATTACTATTAAAGTAAATTCATTAGCACTTTGCTCTGTGCAAATAACTAACTACCAAATTAAACACTCCAACTATTACCTTCTATCATACGCATTTAAAAAATTAGCAGAGCAAAATTTTTCCATTATATACTTCCTTCTGATTATATGTAGCATAACAATACATTCATTAAGATTTTGGTAGAAATGATGATCAAATAACTGACCGAATTAAAAGGCAGTCTGCTGTACTAAGAGAACATTCTGAAGCGGTACATTTCACCCACCATTTTGGGTACCAATACAATAATAAACGAAATGTGCCCAAAGTAAGCACCGTGACTATCCATGTTAATACCTATAAATATTACATTAGGAAGAAAAACATTTCGCATAAAATAACCGCTTGACCTTCGCATATGCCTTCGTAGGCTAATTCAGTGCATTTATCTCCCTTAAACTTTGATCATTAAACACAAACTGACGTGGCTAACGTACCATTTTTATCCTATTTGTTTTATATCCCCACAAATACAAATTTTCATCATCAACGGTGATATGAGCACTGTGAGTTGCTTGCGTGGACATTCTATTGAATGTGTCCTTTCGCCCGGTTCGCCCTAGAATCAATCACTTGTATCAACAAATATCAAAATTCTTTTTTTTTTTTTCTCGTACTATAAATCATCACGATATCAAATAGCTCATCTCTTGATTAGATATCATACCTCACAGAAAAGTACAGAAGAACAAACGATGTGAGAATCGTAAAGCAACACTTTGCACGTTACGTAGAATAACTCAAACATAGGCTTTAAATTAACAACGCTGGAGAATAACATACTTGAATATCGTATTCCCTGAATTGCTACTGGATTTGCGTAACGCTTTGTTAAGCAGTTATTACACGTACTGTAATTACCATGCAGCAGTGGTACTCGTTATGTGTCACCTTCCAGTGAATGTCACCCCACTTTACAGTGAACTAGAAACAATTTCTATATAAAAGGGAAGCAAAAGCAAAAGCAGAGTAGAGCATTGTGCCAAATGTACCGACAACCTAACGATTTATTTTTATCGGAAACTAACTTCAGTGCCTTTCTTCCTTTCACTTTTAGCAGTAGTATGTGGTATATCAAACTAACCATTTCCTTTTCTTACTATCTGAATGGAAACTGATTACAAATATTCAGTCTACAAGGAGGAGGAGGAGGAAAGAGATGAATGTTCAGAGTACACAATTACATTACCAAATGACACTAAAATGGCAGCACAGCACAATTTATGAGTTTATGACAGTTGTGCTGAATTTTTTCCTCTTTTCTTTTCTTCTTAGCTATCATCACAAAAACAGCAAAAGACCGCAAAAATCTCGGCTCATTCGGTGCTGCAACTTTTAATACTATCAGTCACTTAAGTTCTAAAGTGACTGTCAACTTTTTCTGCATTCATCTTCTACAACATTTTGGTCTGTCTGTCCACGCTTCCGATTTCTATTATCATTATGAATTAAAAAGGTATAAATACTCTTGACTACTCCTAATCTTCCAGTCCTTCATTTCCTTACACATAACCATCAATCATCTGCGAATGATGAAGCTTACCCACATAGGGTTTGTTAGGAAAGGTAGTGAGAGCAGGGCAAGGCCTGTACTGGGCACTTTTTTGTTATGGCGACTGTGGGAGTTGGATAAACGAGCGTAAGGCTATCTGCCCTGGTTAGCCATTTGCGAGAGTATACACGAAATGCCACTTCAATAATCTATAAACCACACCCAGTCTCGGAAATTCCCATTGCGTCGTATTGATTCCCCGTCTCAATCAACCGACGTGGCACAAAGGTTAATCTGCTTGAAGCAAATTTGTAAACTATATCCTATTCTTACTTTGACTGTTATTCAATCTTTGATACAACTGCAAGTCATAAATAAATACTCTGAAGAGAAATTGTTTCATTCCCTATTAGATGCAAGTTATTATATCATCTTAACAGATGAGTTTGTCATACAAAAAGTTTGCTAAAATGTAATTCAAATTGTTTCCTTCTGGGAAGCAAATGTTGGAAAGAAAAAAGCATAAAAATAGAGAAGAAATGAGAGTAAAAATGATTGCAAATGGAAATGGGTCAGTCATTAGCAGTCTTTGGGGATGAAATGATGATGGCCATTAGCAAAGCATTCACTGTTCAGGATGTGATCACCTCGCGAAGCTCGATGACCTCTGCACAGAAAAAACAAACACAAATATGACCTTTCAATTCATATACCTTATGTACGTACATAGGCGCTGCTGTAACATGTAATATTCATTTAAAAGTTGATTGCATTCCATCATTCATATAATGAAGTAGATAGTTCTCGTGACAGAAGTCTGAGGTAGTCAGTCATATGTGCAAGTGTCGATAAGACCTGACTGCTTGCACTTTCCATCTAAACATAGTACTTCTTTCACTTTGATACATTAGCATGGCATAAGATAGTGGACATGAAGGGATTATATTTTGAGAGTTCTCAATCCCTTCAGTTATTCTTTAATTAAATGCAAAGCTATCTATTGGTCACTCCGAAATCTACAAATGTTGTATTTTGATAATGAAAAAGGTAACAGACCACCTCGAGAAATAGAAGTGCAACTACTGCATTTGGGAATTAATTTCATGACTGACAATTAATTTAGATAGGATGTGAAACTTCTACACCGTGACCTCTTAACGAGGTTTTTAAATATTTTTTAAACCATTTTGAAAACCAACTACCTGATAAATGTTAAAATTTCACGAAAACAAGCGATATCAATCACTTAGTGAAAAAGATCTTTAATGGATCAATTTTCATGAAAAATTTCTGTGCAAACCACATTTATTCATTTCGTCAGTGCCAAATTTGGTCCATGCCAGATAAGACCTTTTGCAGTGTTTCGTAAAATTGCAAATATTTTTGAAAATCGTAATTTCTTACATTGTATCTCAGCAATCAGTAAAATTAAATCAGCCATTCTTAATATATTTACACCTTTATTCCAATAAATGTTTATTGCCCGCTTCTGCTGTTTAATATTTTTGCTAATAGTGAGTAATGGGAGAAATAAATTCGTTGAAAGTTGAAAGTTTTACAATCATTAAAAATACGGACCAGTTGCAAATTGTAAACATTTATTACGGGCATTCACATTCTCAAGGAAATCTCAGCACCCGCTACAGTCAGCAGGATATCGTACAATACCGAAAGAAAGGTCCTTTGCATTTAGCGTTGTCGGTTGCCAAACAATCGCGGGACTCAAAACCAATAATTTCATGGTTTTTACATGGATGACCACCAGCAAACTGCTGAAATCAGTACATTGCAATAATTAATAATTAAATAATAATAATAATAACAGTAATAGCAATAATAAAATAATTGCAATATTTCCAAATAATAACAGTAATAATGATAATAATCAAGTAATACTAATATATTGTATAATATATACATGCAATATTATATAGACAAATAGCATCTTTTTCATGACTCTCTTTTGTGTAAAATATACTTTGAGGCTTGCTTTTTTATTTTATCGATGAAGAAGAAAGGATGATATTTTTAACGATCCATTCAAGGTGGATGTGATGGTCTAATCTAACAAATTTTCGCACCTAACAAAGATCGGATTTTAAGTTTGTAAGTATTAGTTGTATATGTGGAAGCGATCTTCAGCAATTTTAAATTTCGGACAAAAAAGAGAAAAATCAGTTAATAAATATTATAAAAGCTGATTGCAAAACTTTTGGATAATTATTAATTATGTTTGTTCGAAATGTTGCTGATTACGAATGGAAACTTAACCTAAGAGCGAGTTTAATAGACTATCTTCAAAACTGAAGTCAATTTTCTTATAACTTGCCTTTTAAGTCTCCAAAAAGAAATCATTTCTTAGAAACAAGTGCGACGCACTTCGAGATAAGGAATGTAAAGGATTTCAGAAGTTGAAATGAACTAAAATAGTCTATTCCTTTCAATTAATATTTCTTTTTAATGATATTGTGTGTTAAAGGTATATGTTAAGAGTTCTGGTTAATGCTTAAATAAGAGGATATTATTTAAAATCACAAAAGTAATTTACCTGGCAAACGCCTCGCCAAGGTGACCAAACTTTTTCGTCCGTTTTTTCCTTGAATTCTTTTTCAGAATGTGACTGCTGCTGTAACTGTGAAGAAATGCCGTGTAGTATAGCAGTTCTAAGATCGGTTTTGTTTGCTATATTTAGCCTTTCAGGTAGTACTGACGTCAGTAATCCTTCCCTGTTGATTGTTGTTTGCAGTCCATGGTCGTCCGGAACTGCTTCTATGTACATGTTTCAATTAAATTGATTAACTTGATTGATTTATTTTTTGATTTCATTGAACAAAAATTGATTATTTGTTCATTTATTCATTTACTCTACAACTGTTACATCTTATATGAGATAAAAAAAACTTAATTTCAGTTACATATCTGCAAAACACTGCAAAGACATATAATACCTTTCAATTTAACCTCTTCTTTTATTGTTATAGGACATTTCTTGACTTCCATTAATGCTCCAACACATTTTTGTAAATTGTAACATTTCCTTCGTCTTATGCTTCTTTCACCAGGTCTTCTACATGGTGACCAGTTGTTCCACTGAGAGAAGTGATCCTCCTGAAAGTAAATCAGTACAGGAATTTTTTCGGAGTTTTCTTGTACCAAGAGAGGAAATGTGCTTCTGAAGAATGTGAACTTTCTCATTTGTACAAGCTTCCAATAAAATCCTTCGTGGCTCAGGTATGTCGCGACTGAAAGAAATAGCCTGCACTTATACTGCAAAAGAAGGAGCATTCAGTCCGAGAATTGTTCAGAGACATTTCAAAACGAAATCTCTTGTTCAGACTATCTGAGAAAAATGTTCAAAGCAAAATACGCTCAACCAATAAGCGTATGCACATCTTTGAATCCGCTCAATGTTATAATTTTCAATCGGTTCATTGGTTTTTGCATTTTAGCTTTTTCATGAAATACCACTACCACTGAATTAGTCCTCTCTGTATGCTGCTTTTCAACCTAAAATGGTGATGGCCTAACCTAAAAGTTAGAAAAGTTGTGCAGTTTGATTAGAATCTATCTGCGAACAGGCAGCTCATTTTCTAAAACATTATAAAATGTGTCAAATGGCTGTAATGAAATAAAATTATGACCTCTAATTGTTACTCTGACTCGTGAAAATATTGGATGAGTAATTAAGCTGAAAAATTTCACTTGAAAGACATAAAATTGAAAAGTGGCTAAAAGAACCTCTAAGGGTAAATTTTTTTCCAAGTGTTTTTCTTCATTTTCTTCCGATGTGAATTCTTTTTTTATTTGCTGAAACATAATTGTTTAAAAATTTGAGATAATTTTTAAATGGAAATAAATTTATAAAATTCAGTATTATTAAAATTGTGATTGTCTGGACTGCTGTCTTAGTGGATAATGCCATTCCAGCGAAAAATTTAGACAGTAACCACGGATCCATTTTCAAGCCTTCCATACTTTATGAAAGTTACTGAAAGCATTAGAACTTATGATAGGTTTCCCTGTGTACTGCGTTAAATTGATATGGTTATATATGATATCAAGCATTCGGTTACACAACCACGGTAGTAGTAATAGTTTTTCGAAAGGTCACCGGTGATTTTGGTGAATTAACCTGTAACTTTGTTTGTCTCAGTGATTTGGGACGTTTACTGAAGCTGACGGTACCGCTATCAGTTCTCAGTTTTTTCAAATTACGCGTCAGCATTTTCGACATTCCTTTGATGGTACTTGCTGTTGTTGCCTCTTCGACTGCGGAAACATTTCCGAAATTTGTCCTGATTGCGTTGTCACTTTGCTCTTCGTAACTCTCACTATAAACGTCATCATTCAAGTCGTTTCGTTGCTTCAACGGATTTTCTTCCTTATTATCATTAACGTTTTCGATATGGTCGTCTGCTGCGATAGGCGATAATTTTACAGCTAAAAAGGAAGATGAGATGAAGGCTTATGTGATGATAATGTTTTAAAAATATGTTAACCGAATAAATTTTATAATGTAAATATGTCTAAATAATGAAAGTATTTCATATTGTAGGAATATCTTGTAATAATTTAAATCAATTCATAACATGCAAATTTGTACCATAAGAATTATAGCATTTCAAATATTTCTTAGCCAAGTGATTCATCACTTAAAGGTAAATGAATATTTTGATGTTTTAATGTATTTGAATCATTAATTCAATTCTCATCTTTGTTTCAAGCTTATGTTCATTGAAATCAATTCCGGCTTGATAACTTACATAGCCCTTTTTTTTGACACAAATTTCTCATTTCCGACAAGATTATACCAGCATGATGTAAATATAAATATAAGGAATTAGAACCATCCACAAGTCACTTCCTGGACTTCTTTACTTGATCACGTCCTACTAACAATCGTTTGGATTCATCTTACCCATTGCTGCAATCTCAATCCTCCCTTCTCCCCCTCCCCCCCCCCCCCCCCCCAAAAAAAAAAAAAAAAAAAACGTTTGTCAAATTACAATCTGAATTAACTTCATCTCAAAAAAAGTGCAATCTGTAGATCTATTCTAAATGTTCCCTGATAATTGTGTTATGACATCACTCAATAAAACCTTTAACCGAACAATAATTCATCCCTCGCAAACAACACAAAATACTTCCATGTCGGGAGAGTATCACAGATGACTGTAAAAATAGCCTAGCAGTGCAGTGTGTCCTTGTGTTCAAATTAAAATGCTTGCTTAGAACCAGACTGCATTTATGTAATCCGAAAAGGTATATGAGAATGTTCAGAATGCCCATAACCTGCTATTGTTGAGTTTTCCAATTGTTTTTGTCGTGCTAATATTGCTGGACAGCCATTCTGTATGTAAATAACCTTATCATTTTCTTCTCGGGCAAATGATGCTGGCTGAGTCATGGCTGATTCGGTGTTCGTTATGCATTCACCTTCCGCGTAGAAGTACATTGCCGACTGAAACATTAGCAGTAGGCACATGAAATTATGAGAGATGTAACCAGTATCATTTTAGAAACGTCGTCATCTTACCTATGCATTCATTGGGTCACTCATTCAGCTGAAGTGTTGTTCTACCATCGATTGACACAGACAAAAAAAAGATTTCTTCTCAGTGCGAGGGAAATGCACTCAGATTTTCGGTATTTTTTGAGGATATGCAATGTGTAAACGACAACATACTCTGCACTGGAAATGTTCGGCGAGGCACTGTTCAATACATTCTTGAACGGATCTTGCGAGTGAAACATTTCTTGCATATCCAATGATGACCGACTGATCAATCTTCAGGAACCGACTGTCTGCACACTCGATCGGTGCATCTTCTGTAATCTTTTCTTATCATCTTAAGCTTTATTTTTTTTTTGCTTATTTCCATTTCACTGATATAAGATCGCTTTCATTTTTGTTGAAGTATTGCGGCAGATGCCTTTCAGTACAGAAAGAGCTGTTTATAATAAATGAAAAAGGGACAAGTTTATTGAATCAGTTCATTTTTCTAAATTTTCCAACAGTTTTATTTTCAAATGACTCAGATATTTCTATTAATTATTAAATTTGATGATATTCTTTATAGATAGTTATAGCCTAAATTTTACTGCCATCCAAGGAAACTCATGTGCTGAAAGTAATTTTTGAGCACATATTCAAAAATTTGAACTTATTTGAATTTTGAAATCGGTTACAATAATTGTCTCATATTACGGCCAACACTCATTACACACTAGTCGCTCATATTTTAACTTCTTCAACGGACGGTAAAATTTAGCTGAACAAAATTTTGGGAAATTTCGTTAATGTAAATAGCTTTTCCGGATGAAGAGAAATTGATTTTTGTTAAACAAATGATGTTCAGGAAATTGAATTAATTGGTTACTTAGGCAAAATTTCTCGAAGAGTCGTTGTCCTGGAACAGTTTCAATTTTTAAGTCACCTTCCGGATAACTTTTGGATCGGAAAATAGTGCATGCAAAGGTTGTCTGGTCATAAACTACCGATGCACAAAATATTGTTCGGCCATCCCTATCCTGAAATGACCACTTATGAATACTGTAAATAATTTGTTGTTCATAATATTAAGGAAAGAGTTTGATTTTTAGAAAATATTTTATTATAAAAGTTTTTGAATAAAAAAGCGAAATATTGGAGAAAGAGTAATACAAAAATCCCGAATGACAACCGGTAATAGAGTACGGGATCTCGAAAGCAAGAGTTGTTTTGGAGCAGGCTGTTGACATTCAAATAGGACAAGGAATAGTGTGATAGATGAGAGGGTGGCAGAGATTGTAACATCGACGAGACAGAGCGAGGACAACAGCAAAGACGACCGCAAAATATATTGCAGAATGTGAAAAAGATGAAAAAGGTTGCTGCAGTCAAAGTGTTTCCAGTACAAGGGAGGAAACAGAAGGAAGGGCAGAGAAGGAGGAGGACGAGTGTAATGTTTCGATATTTTCGTATTTGAAGGAGAGGCGGGATGAATTCTTGTATGAATAATTCATCGAAGAGTGCTCGTGCGGGGTTACAAAAGGAAACGGAGTATTGATTGCATGCACAGTTTACCATAAACTGCTTTAAAGTAGCTGAGGAACGCGGGGGGACGGGTACTCCAGTGGATTTTCTACCCATGGGAATGTGTAGCTGCTGGGGATGCTACTGATCAGTGGTCATTTGTTGAATCCACAATAGAGTTCTCTGCATCTGACGCAGATAGATGTTAAATTGGTAGTCGAGAATGCTGGAAATGCGAATATAATATTGCTGTGATAATAGTTATTTGAATGCTACTGTAATAACCGTAGTGCATATTTGGGTGAGGCAAGGGCAAGTGTGGTATTGTGTGGGAACATGCAAAGGTTGTTATGTAATGTTGTGAGATGTAAACTTGTCGTTCGCAGTTTTTTTTTTTTTTAGAAATTATCGGTCAACTGACAGAAGACATTCTTCTTTTAGGAGTCAGCTGGAGTCCTGTAGAAAATTCGTTCATTTTAAAATACGACAACTATTGATTAGGTTAATCAGCAAGGGAGGTGTCTGTACAGGTGACAGGACTGTGTCGCACATAATGATGTTGTTATTTAAGTGTCCAAAAGTTCTTCTCAAATATATGCAATGTTGAGTTCTGAATTTGTGTACTTGCTTTACGGAAAAACTTATTAAATATTTAAGTATTGATTGTGTGATAGTGCAATGTATATAAGTGATTTAGTTAAGTTGGAGTTATCGATGTTTTCTTCGAAAATAGGGAGTCATCCACCTATTTCATACGGTATCATTTGAACTCAAACTCATTCTGTCTGTTTCGGTTTACACCTTTCATAAGTGTTGTCATCAGGTACCTTCGTATTTCCTCTCAATCACTTCATTTCTGAATCAGCAGGAGCACTTCATGATTCTCAGTTATTAAGCATAATGGTAGGCCAAAAAAGCATCAGTGGTCGAAATTCTTCTACATACATGTGTCTCTACCAATGGTACATACTTTCTGAATGACTAAAAACATATTTGACTGCAAAAGGAGATTAGTAATAACTTGCTGATGGCAAGTATATTAGTAATATTGTGCTTCTTAGCGAAAATAACACTACTGCGCCGTTACATTTCCATTGCCATTCTTCTTTGATGTAAAAGGCTTTGTACTTTGTCGTATTTTTTCTTGATTTTCCAATTTGCCAATGGTTGTTTGAGAACAAGGATCGAAAACTATTCTTCCTACAATAATTCGTCTTTAAATCTGATGAAAGGGTTATTGGTAGAGTGATCAATCAGTCAACAAAAGACAGTTCTGACTTCAGTTTAACAACAATTGTAGCATGAATTCCATATCGGTATTTAAGAGAATAATTTTAAGAGGCTGGATAACAAATTTCGTCGTAAACAGACACGTGCAACAAACAAATACTTTTCTACCTGGTAGCAGTAGTAATGCTGTATTTTGCTATCAAGCATGACATGTTTGCCCTTTTTCCTATAATCATTCCTATTTCTGTCATCATAGCGTATCCTTTACGAATCACTCGACGGATACCTTAATCTGGTGCAATTCTCCATTTCATGACATGTATTTTTTTTTTTTTTATTCAAAAACCAAGAGATCGTTGTAATGAAGAATTTCTGTATTTTTTGTTCAATGTTTAGAAATTTTACCTCGATAAGTTGAAATTCCGAATCCTATTTACTTAAATCTGTAAGAATGAACGTAAGGTGTAACAAAACGTAAAAAATTACAAACAAGATACAAGTGAAATGGCCAGAATTTCCGGTGTGAATTTATTGCATAGTAACTTTTTTAATCTTGTCCTATTAAGGAGTTGCCTTTCCCTCGTTATGTGAAGTGATTGGCGGGAGCCCAGTTGGAAAGATCGAATTCTAAAAATAAGATGTGTGATTTAAAAAATAACCTTTGATACTTGGAAAAGCGATAAAAAAATGAAAGAGCTTTCTACATAAAGGGTTGCTACTTGGATATCGCCTTTAATCCATTATGACTGTTCTTTGTTCTCGAAATATATGAATTTACAGGAATATGATTATTGCTATCACACAAAGAGGCTTTGTATTCAAAAATCAGCATTATAAGCGTGGTTTTTGCTCTTTAATTTCCTCCCTTTTCAGCATTTTCCTTTTTTTTTTCGGGAACTTCCAATGAAGATTTGCCGTGATTTTTCATGGGGGGGATATACCTTCTCCAATTGTACCTGGGATGTATTTGGGAAAGTATAGACATATGAGATTGAAAAACTATGTGGTGTTTGATCAGATATTTTTAAAAGTATTTAAAGATTAGATGCATCGACCTAAAAGTAGCAAACAGAAACGAAGTCCGTGATTCTAGTCGGAGTGGCATCCTGAATAACTGATTTCTAAGGATTTTTCGTTGGACCATATGAATAATTGCTATCGGTCTAACTTATACGAGTGCCGTCCGATAATAACGAAACAGTAAGCCATCTGTCTGGGTTGAGATATCGTTCATTCATAATGCGGCCATATCCAAGCAACAGCCAAATGGGACCAGGGATTTGTTGGGGGATTTAAATTAGTTTGGGAATTTTGGAATGATCTCGTTGCTGTAAAATTTGGGGGATGGACATGTTGGGAGTTATCAATGCTTCTATGATTGTTCCTTTAATTCAATTCAATTTTTATCCACAAACTTAACTGGAGATTTCTGGTTAAGGTTTTTGTATCATTGTGCTGTGCTATTTTCTTGGATTTCCATGTTATTAGTTTTAAATATATGTATATATTTATTTATATAATCCATTTATTGACCTATGTTTGCACACTTATGATATTACTAATTATTTAAATTAGATGGAACCCATTTTCAGCTTTTACTGTCATCATTAGGATGGGCTCAAAAAATGGTGCTTCCCCAAAAGATGACACCGTTGGCCTTGCGAAATCACTCACACTGTTCAATGGTGTTTCTATAATCGTTGGCTGTATCATTGGATCTGGGATATTCGTGTCACCGACGGGTGTCCAAGAAAGTGGGTTGTAGTCATTAATCCACTTTTCTTAGATTATTTATTTCTTCATTTCCTTGCTGATTACGTTTTCTGCTGCATTAACGGATATTTTTAATTTTAGAAGCGGGAAGTGTCGGGTTGTCGTTGATTGTTTGGGTTGCTTGTGGTTTGTTCGCTGCAGTTGGTGCTTACTGTTACGCCGAACTTGGTACTCTAATTCACAAGTCGGGTGGAGATTATGCGTATATTATGGAATCATTTGGTCCCTTTCTGGCTTTCATACGTCTTTGGGTTGAAGCTGTAGTAGTTAGGTGAATTTCAAGATCATATTACGCTTGTTGTCGAAAACTACTTGTATTTTATTTTCGAACCTTCCATTTTTATTTGCTATCATATCTGATTTCAGACCTTGTACTTGCACCGTTGTAGCGTTGACTTTTGCGATTTATATGCTGCGACCATTTTATCCAAATTGTGATCCACCTGCCGAACTTCCGGCATTGCTTGCAACAATTTTACTTAGTAGGCTATTACAGAAAAGATTTTAACTGTTTTAAATTTGATTTGACGTAGTTGCTTGAGAGAGGAATAGAAACAAACTAATTCACTAATATTTTGGGAATTTTTTTAAGTGAACTAACATTGTTGTTTTAATTAATTTTTATGTTTTGTTACAGTAATTCTGACAGCAATAAATTGCATGTCAATACGATTAGCAACTTTCGTTCAGGATTTTTTCACTGTTGCAAAACTGTTTGCACTGTGTTTGATTATTGGCACTGGTGCAGTGCTGCTAATATCAGGTTTTCTTTTCCTCTATCATGTTTGTTGTGTTTTTTTTTTTCTCTTTTTATGATAATATATGGTTTATGGTTTATTTGTAGTCGTGCGTATTAATATTAGTTTACATTCCATTTTATGGATACCACTTACAGGAAAACCACAGTACAGAGAATCGTTTGAAAATATATTCGAAAATACGACGCCTGACGTTGGGACTGCATCGCTGGCGTTTTATTCCGGTCTTTTTGCATATCAGGGATGGAATTATTTAAATTTCATCGTTGAGGAATTACAAAGTCCGAGGCGGTACTTTTTTTCATTAAATTTTGTAATGTAACGGCGATGTATTTGAGCTATTTTTGAATGGATAATTATATTGGTTCATTAATTACAAAATTATTTGTCCGTTATGTATTTGTTATTCTTTTGCTCATCGCATCCATAGTGTTAACGCTTCTTTTGTTCAGCACGAACTATGTAGCTGGTAATGATGAACTAATGTTATGGTGTACTGAAAAGTTTTTTCAGAAATTTGCCATTGGCAATTGCAATATCATGTACTGTGTGCACGGTAATCTACACGTTAACAAATATTGCTTTATATACGGTGATTACACCGGATGACATGTTGAGTAGTCCAGCAGTTGCTGTTGTAAGTTATGTTTGCACTTTCTCTTTGAAGTATTTACTTATTTATTTGGAAAGTAAGCGTATGTTAGTGTATTGCAACATGAATTTTTAATAAATTAGAGTCTGTTATTATATAATCGAATTCAGACTGGAACATGTGTTTTTCATTTTAGGAATTCGCTAATAAAACGTTTGGGCCATTTGCCTTTGTAATGCCCATATTCGTTGCATGTTCGACAATTGGTTCAGCGAATGGAGTAATTTTCACTTCATCCAGGTTTTTGAACAAGGATTTTCAAAACTTTTCATAAGACTCTTCAAAAATAGAGATTTTGATTTTTGTTTACTAA